TCTCCAAGAATAAGACTGATCCGCAGGAGAAATATATGTGTTTGCATGTGTTTCCCTTGTTTTGTTTTTTAATAGCTACTGTGGCACGTACCACTGTTATCTTGTTGGGTCTAGGTGTGGTTTTGGGGGTTTTTTTTCTTTCTGGTAGTAACCTGCTTATGTTGAGATTTTCTTCTGTAAACTACACTTCTGAGAAAAATATTTCCTGTCATTGAGACATATACCACATGACCTGTGTGTCCTATCAAAACTAACCAAGACAACTTGAATTGGAATTTTGAATGTAAAATACTGACAATTAACTGCTCATTCACAATCCACAGAACAAGAATTACTAGGAAATAATTTCAAACAACCAACAAATTCCAGAAAATTAAAAATGGCCCATGGGCAATTAACAAATGGAGAAAAGCTAAATTCAGGAGATAAATTATTAACAATGAATCATTTGCTCAGTTCTAGGACCATATCAGTTAGATAATGAAAAGACCTAGTCCCAAAGCACAATTGTTCCTCAATGGGAAATACCATAGAAATGTTTCCTTTCTCTCAGAACTGTGTTCTACTTAGAGAGGTGCTTGTGTGATGCCTTCATTGCTGGCAGGTTTATACCAGTACTTGTCTGGATGTCATGTTCTGTCTCTGAAATGCGTTTCTAAATTAAAGTGTATTTGGCTAGAAAGCATGCAATACCTTCCATTGCACTGGTTGGTCAGAAGGTAAGACTAGTTCCAGCAGGCTAGCCAATCAGGAGACCATGAACTATCAGAGAAGCCCTGATTGACTAATCTTTAGACTGTATATGATTAGATGCCTCCTTTTCCCATCAAGTAACCCTGGGCCACTGTGATGTGACTCTGAGGCCAGGGGAGAGCAACTCTCATTCCCTATGCTGTGTCTCTTCCACTCTGGGCTAAGCTCTAACACCCCCACCCCCACCCCGCCATGGCATGCCAGCAGAGGCACTAGCACACCAATCAGCAGTGACCTGAAAGGACAGAACAGCAACCAGCTATACAGCAGCAGACCCTGCACATCAATGCCTGGGGCCTGTCTCATCTTATTTCTCTCAGCCCTGCCCCTCAGCCAGTCTGACAGGACTTCTCTCTGCCTCTGGCCACTTGCTGCCTATCACACAATAATTCTCTGGCACATTTTCGCTGGCTTTCTACCAAAGCTTTGCATCAACAACATGACCACCCAAGGCCCCTTCCTGACACAGGCCCACATCCACAGGCCCATCCTTACTTTCTTCATTTGTTTCATTCCACTAACAACATAGCTGTTGGGCAGGGTCCTTTGGCTTAATTCAGTAATGTTTTGCTTTCTTTGGACCAAAAGCATGAATTATGACTGAGTCCTTTGCTTTAGCTAACAGCATCCCTGATGGTCACTCGATAACTGAGATGTCATGCCAGAAAGTTTGAGTCCAGATCTGAACATTCCCCAAAGTTCAGGAAGACTGGCTCCGGAGGGGTTTGGTTTGGCCCCCTCCTCAACTTATTAACTGTCCTAGTGGCTAAAGGTCTAATCCAAAGTCCATTAAAGTCAATGGGAGCCTTTCCATTGCCTTCAGCAGACTTTGGATCAAGACCTACATGCCCCCTACATGTGACCTCACTGTTAGCTACCATTATTACTGGCTCTTGGTGCCAGCCAGCTGAAGAGTTTCAGAACTAGTGCCACTGTCAACACACATGGTGCCACACTAGTACCACACATGGTGAGGTACAGTGTACATGACACATTGTTCCAATGTAGCTCCTACTGATTAAAACCACGAATAAAACAAGGTGGAAATAAATGAAGCAAAGTTGCTTTAGAGCAAGACTGGAATTCCTTTTTTTTTTCAAGTTCAGGATTATAAAATGCTTATATATCTTTTTCATCTGAGACAGATCTGTCCTTGACTACCTAAGTGGAGAGCCATTTCAAGAATACCTAGACAGCATGTACTTTGATAGGTTTCTGCAGTGGAAGTGGTTGGAAAGGTAAGCACTGCTCTTTTTAAATATATATATATTTTCAGTTTCTATGCAAAACTATGCAGTCTGTTTGTCAAAAAAGCATGCGTTGCTCCCACTGATTTTTAACTCAAAGGCAGAATTTGGCCCCATCTTTGAGTTATGAACTATCTTAGAATATAAAATTACAAGGGATGAGAAGAGGGATGGGGAAAGTGACATAAATTATTGTAGTGAGAATTTACCTGACCATCCAGACATTTAGTAGACCTCCCCTCCCATCGGCTTTCCCTCTGGCCTCCTAGACTCCATGTAACAGCTCTCAGATTTTGCTCTCCTCCATTCTCCCTCTTCCCCTTCACAAAGTCCCATTGTGCCATGCTCTCTACTCCCCTGAGCTGTGCTTCAGGATTTCCATTCTGCTCAGAAAGGCTTCCCCAAGCTTCGTATTTGGTCATAAGTGCCCATTGTTAGAAGGGTCAAAAAGCAGATTGAGGCTTTGTCCTGCAGAACGAAACCAGATAAGAATCAAACTTACCTTGGTGGTAGATCCCATTTCACCCACTAGTTGAGCCCCCCAAACATGAACCAGTCTACATCAACTATAGCCAAGATAGCAGTGGTCCTCCTTGTACATGCACAGACTCAGGAATAATCTCCTCCCCTTCCCTCTACTCTCTAGAATACCACTTTCCTCAAGATAGTGAGGATATGTCTACACTACAGTGATGCTGTGGCACAGATGCAGCACTGTAGCCATGCCGCTGTGGGCGCTGTAGTGTAGACACTTCCTACGTTGATGGAAGGGGTTTCTCCATTGATGAAGGTAAGCCACCTCTCCGAGAGGCGGTAGCTAGGTCTGTGGAACAATTCTTCTGCTGATCTTGCTGCATCTACAGTAGGTTGACCCAAGTATGTTGCTCAGGGTGTGTAATTTTTCACAGCCCTGAGTGCTGTAGCTAGGTTGATTTAATATTTAGGTGTAGACCAGGATATAGAGAAGTCGTAGGCCACAGATAATACCTTGGGAAGCTACATTGCAGAACATGGGTTGTGCACCGTAGACCTATAGGATGAGATTTTCAAAGCTGCTTGAGGAATTTGGACACCCAATTCCCATTAAAATTAATGGGAACTGGGTATCCAAATTTACTTATGTGGCTTCAAAAATCTCTGCCGTAATAGTTACTGTGTTCCCTGTCACTAAAAGTTATTCATTGCAGGCAAATAGATGTTTTCATCCTGTTACAAATATGTTTAAATGACCCACGTTAGCAGTTACATCCCACCTGCATGTGTCTATGATGTGCAGTTTTAGATGTGCATCCAGTCTCCAGTTTTCACATTTGCAAACAGCATGATAAGCAATGCTAAACCAGATTCTGCTTGCTAGAAAAGTTAATAATAAAACAGAAAAACGACCTAGATATGGCTAGTGTGCTGTAGTGTTTAACTTCCAGTACACTGGGTACTATTAAAAAAAAAAACATCACTGCAATTTGAGCCGTCCTTTTGCGTAGCTAACCTTTGAATGCTGATGACCAAGACAGATCTATGATAACTTTTTGGAGGACCCGCTATTTCTGTTTTTATAAAACAAAGGAAAATACAGCATGTGTGTCCTAGAGCCAGAATTATTAGGTACACATTTCCAGGCACACTTCATTTTCAGGAATCTTTAGGGGCTTTGACCTGCCAAGACAAAGAAACGTGTATTCTTTGTTGGCTGGTGCCACAGCGGATTGGTGCAGCTTGCTAATGGTGACTGTCACTCTGAGGCCTGGTCTACACTACGACTTTAATTCGGATTTAGCTGCGTTAATCCGAATTAACCCTTCACCCGTCCACACTACAGAGCCAGTTAATTCGAATTAAAGGGCACTTAAAATCGATTTCTGTACTCCACCTCGACGAGCAGAGTAGCGCCAAAATCGATTTTGTTCATTCGAATTAGGGTTAGTGTGGCCGCACACCACCGAATTAATGTGGTTAAATTAATGGGGTAGTGTGGCCGCACACCACCGAATTAATGTGGTTAAAAACCGAATTAATGTGCTTAGTGTGGCTGCGCACAATCGAATTTATACAACCTGTTTCCCAAATTCGAATTATCTAAATTCGGATTAATCCCGTAGTGTAGACATACCTGAGTTAAAGGAATGCCACACTTTCCACAAAGCGAATTACAAGAGAAGATTTAGGGTCAGAGTCTCAGCTTGTGTAAATCAGCATAATTCAGATGAAATCAATCAACAGAGCTGTGCCAATGGCACCAGCTAAATATCTAGCTCTTAAAATTAAATACCATTTGGCTGATGGTCAGCCATTTCAGGTCAGTACATGCCATATTCCACATGAAAACCACAGCATCCAGTGTTCACTGTAATGCTCTATTTTCTTTCTTCCACTTAAATTGAAAAAGATCAGATGTTTCCTATCAAGTCTGACCTTTTTCAGTCTACTGTCACATCTAGGATTTGGAATTTTGTCAAATGCATTGAAGATTTTTATCCCCCCCCCCCCCAAAAAAAAAAAAAAACTTGACAAGACATCAGATGAGCCCACTCAGCTTAGGAAACTGAAGAGCACTTTCCAGCATTAAACAAAGACAACTTCACTAGCATGGAATGATTAACAGCTCATTCTGACAGCCTGTTGGCTTCAATAGAACAGTTAAACGCTCAGTTTATTCCAGGGACACTGGCAAGTACGTAGTTATCACGGTTAATTGGTGTTTTTAACCCTACTAGTGTTTGCAATATTTTCTTAGAAGCTTGAAAATAACATTTTCCCCTTCCAGTTTGGTCCATTCCCATTTCATTTATATAAGGTTTCCTTCTCCCTCCCTCACCCTTGTTGTTTTTTTAAATAGAGCACAAATGAACATGGCTCACCTTAATGTTTACTTCCTTTGTTATCCTCAGCCACATCCTTCATGTTGGTCTCACAGCTATGCTATTTAACTTGTGCTCACTTGGCTGCCCTACAGCAGCAAAACAAAGCTACTATAGGGTTCATATGAATATTCATTAGCAGTAGCTTTTAATATAGTTTTATTTCATGCCTTAGTGACAGAGTGGTGGTTTAAAAAGTAAGATATATGAAATCAAATATTCTCCAGCAAATTATAAAAATGTAAGGGAGGTAAATGTTGGAATTACGGTTGGAGGCCTGACTTTCATGGAAAAATTGTATAATATTTAATAGAGATGAAGGTCTATAGACGTTATTCTAAAATAACTATAGAAACAGGCCTGAATGGGAAACCAGTCTGCAGATTGTAAGCTCCTTGGGGCAGGGACTAATTTTTTGGCCTGTGTTTGCACAGCGCCTAGCACAGTGGGTTCCTGGTCTATGACCTAGGTGCTGTGGTGATACAAATAATAAATAACAACAGGCTTTCATGACAACTACTTGAGACTGAGTTGGGCCAGTGGGAAAGTAAATTACAAATATGGCTGCTCAATTCCCTCTTCCTTGCCTATTCCATTCCTGCCTTCCCTCACCAAACCCCACTGCAATGGGACACAGAAGAAGTCCCTGAGAAGCTTGGCTGCATGACACAAATGGGACACAGGCTCCCTATCAGTCCAGTGAGTCTGAAGGATTTCCACCTGAGGTAAGGCACTCTGTGCCCATGGAGGAAGGGGCAAGATTTGACCCTTAATAGAGACCTGTGAATTATCAGATGATTCATAGAATGATTGTGTCTTTTCAAACTCTTCTGACTCCTCATCTTTTTTTTTTTTTTTTAAATCCCATATGATGGAAAGTCAGGTCCCCATTTAGTCCTAAGACTCTGTCAGAAATTGTGCTGCACACCAGTGACTCACTAATGTGTTGTATTTTATTACAGCTTAATATGTTGGAATTGAAAAGTTCAAGCCATACATAGTATTGCAGTAATGTGATTACATAATTATATAGTCTATTAGATAATGTGATTACCTTGAAATAATGTGATTATACAATATTTAGCTCTTTTGCTCTTTCAAAAGTATGATCTGAAATAAATAAATCTTAGAGAGTGCATTAAACGTAGAGTTTCTTTTTATATTTCCTTTTCTTTCAGGCAACCAGTAACGAAAAACACATTTAGGCAGTACAGGGTACTAGGAAAAGGTGGTTTTGGGGAGGTGAGTAATTCTGAAAGCTTCTGTTAAGAATGTTTCTCACCTCACAGGCACTGCAGGTTAAAATAAATCTTTTTCATAAGAAAGAGGATGGTTTGAATCACTTAATTGCTGGCAGTTTTCTGTTAACATTTCATAAGATTATAACCCTCAAGGGTCACCTACAGAAATGACTCTTTTGTTTTGTCTGTTAGTTACTTTTGAATCATGCTCACACCGTTATTATCTGTATCACAATAGCAACTAGAGGCCTCTGCTTAGATCAGGGCACATTCTAAATGCACAGTATGAAACAGGGCCCTGCCCTGAAGAGTGTCTAATCTAAGGGTCCATCTACACAGCAAAAAAAACCCTGTGTCAGTGAGTCTCAGAGCCCAGGTCAACTGACTCGGATTCATACTGTGGTGCTAAAAATAGCCATGCAGATGTTCAGCTCTGGCTGGAGCCTGGGCTCTGAAACCCAGCAAGGGTCTCAGAGCCTGGGCTCCAAGCCTGAACGTTTACACTGCTCTTTTTAGCCTTGCAGTGTGAGTCCGAGTCAGTTGACCCAGGCTCTGAAGCTTGCTGCCAGGTTAGTTTTTCTGCTGTGTAGACATACCGTAAGTAGACAAGACAGACAAAGGGTGGGTGTGGAAACAGGCATAGAAAGGTGAAGTGACTACACTAAATTTACACAGCAGGTCAGTTCCAGAACCAGGGCGAGAATCCATACCCAACTCTGGATGCCCTGTCCTGTGCCCTACGCAGTGGGCCACACTGTCTCTCAAACTATTAGCAAGCCCTTAAAAAAGCCTGCAGACAAATCAGACAGCGAGGTACTAAACTTTATAGATAAAGGGTATTTTCTTTAAGCTGCCCAAGTAATCGTTTTTCCCTTCTCTTTAATTTTTAGGTCTGTGCTTGCCAAGTCCGAGCGACAGGGAAAATGTATGCCTGCAAAAGATTAGAGAAGAAGAGAATAAAAAAGAGGAAAGGCGAATCCATGGCATTAAATGAAAAGCAGATTTTAGAAAAAGTCAATAGTCAATTTGTAGTGAGTATTGAACTCCTCACTATAGCCCAGTTACATTGTCAGTCCCTGTGCATAATTCTTGTTGACTTCAGTACCTCCAATTGGCTTCATGGTACATGTAGTGGCAGCGGAAGCTGGCCCACTGTATAATGCTTACTCAGTTTACCTGAGCCCTTCTCTTTTCCATTCAACTGACTCTAGTTTTAGCTTGCAGTATGTGAGATGTGCACCAAATGTGGTGGCTACTTCTATTTAGGGAATTTCAAATGTTTACTCTTTGCAGCCTCCAGTTGTATTGGGGTTGCGTCAGGCTGAGGTATTTTTATCCCCAGTGATTACCTGATTTCCCAATACCTGGGTGAGAGAGGGATTTGGATGAGAATGAGCTGGCTGAGGCTCAACCCAGTAAGACTGAGATGAGGGTGCATGGTTAGCAGGAAGCATCTAGTCAATATGATGGGCCTGGTCTGTCCTGTAGGGTTGCCAATCCTCCCAGATTGGCCAGGAGTCTCCCGAAATCGGCCGCAATCTCCCGGTTGCTATTGAAAGCAATTTGGGAGATTTTAATAGGCCAAAAGTCTGGTCAGCAGCGCAGTGAGGCTTATGCAAGCTCCCTACCTGCCATGGCTCCTGGAAATGGCCAGCATGTCTGGCTCCTGGGCTCAGGGGCAGCCAGGAGGTCTCTGCGCGCTGCCCTCGCTCCAAGTGCCGGCTCCGCAGCTCCCATTGCCTGGGAACCGCAACCAATGGGAGCTGCAGGGGCGGTGCCTGAAGGGAGGGGCAGCACACAGAACCACTTGGCCGCCCCTGAGCCTAGGAGCTGCAGGGACATGCTGCCACTTCCAGGAGCCGCCTGAGGTAAGCACCACCAGAGCCCTCACCCCCTCTCATACCCCAACCCCGTGCTCCAGCCCTGAGCCCCCTCTCGCACCCAAACTCACTCCCAGATCCCAAACCCTGAATGTCCTCCTGCACCCCTGCCTCAGGCTCAGCCTGGAGCCCCCTCCCATACTCCGAACCCCTTGGCTCCAGCCCAGAGCCCACACCCCCTCCCACACCTCAACCCCCTGCCCCAGCCCGGTGAAAGTGAGTGAGGCTAGGGGAGAGTCAGCAACAGAGGGAGTGGGGATGACGTGAGCAGGGGCAGGGCCTAGGATCAGTGGTGGGACAAGGGCGTGGCCTCGGGGAGGGGGAGGGGCAAGGATGTTTGAGTTTGTGCGATTCGACAGTCAGCAACCCTACCGTCCTGTGACTGAGGGTATGTCCACATAGATTTTGGAGCAAGCGGGAGCAAGCCTCCCAGCATGGGTTGACAGACTCAGGCCAGCAGGGCTCTTGCTAGTGCTCTAAAAAGAGCTGTAGAGACAGTGTTTTGAAGTTGTGACTAAGGCTCTGAACCGTAAGGAGGGGATTGGGCCTCAGAGCCGGAGCTCCAGCCAGAGCCGCAACTGCAGAGTACGGCCTACGCAGCTATTTTTAAAGCACCAGCTTGAGCCCCAGAGGATTCAAAACATCAGTCCATAATATTCTAATTGCTGGATTTTTTTTGTGGTTTTGTAAAACAATCTTGATGTTGCAAGAAGGCTCATATCTTCTCCTCGCTTTGCTTACAACGCACTGTTGTCAAAGGTTGTCACTTTTAATGTACAAAAGTTAGCAATGACGTCAACACACCTTATGACAGAACCGCGAGTGCTATTTTACAAATATCTTTCTAGGTTAACTTAGCCTATGCCTATGAAACAAAGGATGCACTGTGTTTAGTTCTGACCATAATGAATGGGGGTGACTTGAAGTTCCACATCTACAACATGGGAAACCCAGGCTTTGAGGAGGAGAGAGCTTTGTTTTATGCAGCAGAGATTCTTTGTGGCTTGGAAGACCTGCATAGAGAAAACACTGTATACAGGTAAGCTTTCCTCAGTGTCTTGGGATATTCATCAGGTGAAGCTTGAATTGTAGGGCCTATTTCAGTGCAATACATCCTAGATGCTTATGTGGTGTCTCGGATTTCTCAGAGCTTTGGAGGAATACAATAAGACTCAGTAATAATGGAAGGAAGCAGTAGCTTTACTGAACACATTCTGTCTAGATGATATAAAACGTACTATATAGAACTGACTAAAGCTCCCAAAATCCTGTCTCAACTTGCATGTATAAAACCTAGACAGATTCTTTAGGAATTATTTCTCCTAAGCTACTTCTTAGTCGATGTTTTACAGAGATCATCCTAGGACATGAAACTTCCGTTTTTACTAGTTAGATTGTGGTAGTGACTGTAATGTGCTATGTACTTCCCAAACAGAAAGGAAGACAGAAGGGTACAGATTAAAAAGGCAAAGGATGATGGGAAGGGATATAACATACAAGCAAAATGATCAGAGTGATTATGGACACGTAGTTTGTTAACTACATGGTTGAGCTTTGATGTTGTTTTTTAAGTTAACACACTGGGTGTAATTCTCCCAGCACGAATGCTGATGTAACTCAGGAGTAACTCTACTAAAGTCAAAAGGAGTTGTGGATCGGGGGATCATCCCTCTTCCTTCCGTCATGGTAACCAAATAGGGTTTTTTTCTTAACAACCAGAGATGTTTAAACGTGGTGAGAGACAAGAATCTGTGTATTTCCCTCTCCTCATGCTGTCTTCAGAAATACCACAGGTGTACTGAGAATGTGCAACGACGTGTGATAATTACAGACCAAATTCCCCTCCCCATCCAACCTTCCCCTCTTCGGCCCCTACAGAATGACACATTAGGCATTCTCTGTGGGTTTCTCATTCACTTTCTTTCTCTTTCTTTCTTTCCCTCAAGAAGCAACATTGTTGTTGGAAATGGATAGGTGAGTCAACAGGGAGATCTATAAGCAGGGAAAAGAAAAGAATAATGACATTAGAAGGCATGTGGTCCTCCAGTAGGTGAGGGATTTATTCCTCTTCCTTCCAGTGCCCTTTCATTCAGACACCTATTGTTTTATTGAATAAAAACAATAGGTGAATAAAACAATAGGTGTCTGAATGAAAGGGCACTGATTTGAGCTTCAGAGAAGTCATGCAAGTGAGGCATGCTATAGCCCATGTCATAACCTTGATCCATGTGTGCAGCTTCAAGCTGAATGGATGTCGAATGTGCAGCTAGTCGGCAAAAAAAGACCCCAAGCCTGAAAAACTCAGCATGCGGTTCTTGATGGGGGTTAAACACTCCTTTATGGCACATCGGGTGCAGAGCAGGAGGACAGATAATGTGTCTGAGCTCTCCACCTCCATATTGGTTGAGCATTTCATTGCACCAGGACACCATGTACAAATGCTTTTGCAGGAGAGCTCAGGGATTTCTTGCTGAATCAGCAGGCTGGATGCAGAGTCAATTTCCATGGATGCCAGGAAATTATTTTTTTTCCAATGGCGCTCTAATATAGTTTAAAATAATATATAATGTTTGTTTTCCTGAGCCTGGCTTGTGAAATCATTATTACTGGCATTCTATACTGCAGAGGTCCTGTGTATTGATAAGGTACCATCCAAGGGGCATTACTTCCAGAAAAATAATGTGTTTTGACATGAGACCACAATTTAAATCATTAATGTGGCCATACATATCATGCAGCTTCTGGTGCTATCTTTATTGGGAGGAATAGGCCATAAGGAATGGAGCATTCATTGCAATTTTATACCAGCTGTGGCTCTGATCTTGTTAGCTCTCACAAGAAGGATCAGGGAGTATTTTGGAAGAGGAAACCTCCAAGAGGAATGATGGTGATGGGTGACATTACATTCCTGCACATGACACTTTTCCAGCACTATTTTAGAAGCTTCAGCAATGGCCCATCATTTCTAATTCTATTGAGTGCTTAGGGTCTTACAAAAGGCACTATAGGTCAATAAAATGTAGTAGCTAAAATGTCGCAGCTTGAGCCAAGTGAGTAATTCATAACAACACACTTTTTCATCACATTTCATTTCTTGCAAACATTGTGTAAATAGAGTAAGTAGTTCACAAAAATTCTAAAATGTATTCATGTTTAAATAGCTCTGAAACCAATACCTTGCACTCTTGGGGCAGTCACATTAGTAATGGTTTTGCTACCTGATTGGATGACTTATATAACAAACCATCAGAGGAAAATGTGTCCAGTTTGGAATATTACAGTCAAATATACAACCCAGACTTCACTTCCTGTTGCTAGTCAAACATTTGAGCTTAAATTTCACTTTTCAACCATATTTGTACTAATAAAGCTCAGCTGTTCATGGAAAGCAAGCATGCTGTGGATCCAGCTAAATTATTATTTATATAACAGTGGTGCCTGGAGTTTCCCACCTATATCCAGGCCCCATGTTTTAGGCACCGTAGAAATATATAGTTAGGCCTTGTACAACTTTAACTACCTCAGTACAACCTCCCTATTGTGGATGCAGTTATATCAGTATAAAGTGCTTATACATGTACAGCTTATTCCCTTATGGGAAGGGGAATAATCTTATATCAGTATGATACCTATGCCTGCCTAAGTGGAGAAAGTGACTAAGGGAGAGGCTGTTCTAGATTTGATTCTGACAAATAGGGAGGAACTGGTTGAGAGATTGAAGGTGAAAGGCAGCTTGGGTGAAAGTGATCACGAAATGATAGAGTTCATGATTCGAAGGAACGGTAGGAGGGAAAACAGCAGAATAAAGACAATGGACTTCAAGGGGGCAGACTATAGCAAACTCAGAGAATTGGTAGATAAGATCCCGTGGGAAGCAAGTCTAAGGGAAAAGCGAGTTCAGGAGAGCTGGCAGTTTTTTGAAGACACATTATTAAGTATAAAGCAACAGAGAGTCCTGTGGCACCTTTAAGACTAACAGATG